CCTGGCCTAATGTGTCCTCTTAGTGCATCAGATCAGGGGTACATAATGTCAATATACTGTACATTATTGGTGATGCTATGGTGTCTTCCAGAATTCTCCATTGTAAGCTTACTGTTTTTGTTTAAATATTTTGAGGAAGATACTTTGTCACTAACATTTTGATGGGCGGAATTCACCAGAAGGAAAATATATTTCACTGAAAAAGGAAACTTATTATATGGGAAGGATGTAAATTGTATTTGGTTACAGAGTCTATAAAGGCATAAAGAAATGCCAGAGAATGCTTTGAAATTCTATAGGCCCACTGCAACCTCTGCCTCCCAGGTTTCAGCGATTATCGAGCTTCAACCTCCCGAATACCTGAGACTACAGGCACATGCCATCATGCCCAGCTAATTTTTTGTATTTTTAGTAGAGATGGGGTTTCACCATGTTACCCAGGATGGTCTTGACCTCCTGACCTCATGATCTGCCTCCCAAAGTGCTAGGATTACAGGCATGAGCCACCTCGCCTGGCCCTTGAGTAACTGGAATTATAGGCATGCACCACAATACCCAGCTAATTTTTGTACTTTTAGTAGAGATGGGGTTTTGCCATGTTGGCCAGGCTGGTCTTGAACTCCTGACCTCAAGTGATCCTCCCACCTTGGCCTCCCAAAGTGCTGGGATTACAGGCATGAGCCACTGCACCCAGTCTCCCCCGAATTTTTATTTTTTGAGACTGAGTTTCGCTCTTGTTGCCCAGGCTGGAGTGCAATGGCGCAATCTTGGCTCACTGCAACCTCTGCCTCCTGGGTTCAAGCAATTCTCCTGCCTCAGCCTCCCAAGTAGCTGGGACTACAGGCATGTGCCACCATGCCCAGCTAACCAATTTATTTTTATTTTTATTTTTATTTTTATTTTTTTGAAATGGAGTTTCGCTCTTGTTACCCAGGCTGGAGTGCAATGGCGCGATCTCGGCTCACTGCAACCTCCCCCTCCTGGGTTCAGGCAATTCTCCTGCCTCAGCCTCCTGAGTAGCTGGGATTACAGGCATGCGCCACCATACCCAGCTAATTTTTTGTATTTTTAGTAGAGACGGGGTTTCACCATGTTGACCAGGATGGTCTCGATCTCTTGACTTCGTGATCCACCCGCCTTGGCCTCCCAAAGTGCTGAAATTACAGGCGTGAGCCACCGCGCCCGACCCTACCAATTCTTTTTTTAGAGGTTCTGGAGAACAGATCTTTCAGTAAGCTCTATGAATATTCAGGTAAGATAAGAAGAAGCCTAAAGATTCCAAATTCCTGTCATCACAAAGTAATCTCAGTGGAACAAAGATCTTTGCTAACAACTAACTGAACATCACTCTGGGATGTTGTGGTACAAGGATCCCCTTCTTACGCTGACATAAGTAAAATCACATAATAGTTTCAGTAGCATCAGATAAATGAAAATAGGGAATGGTCAGTTTTAGGGAGGAAATGAAATATGGAAAAGGATTTGGATGGTTAAAAAATAAAAAAGAGTCCGGGCGCGGTGGCTCAAGCCTGTAATCCCAGAACTTTGGGAGGCCGAGGCGGGTGGATCACGAGGTCAAGAGATCGAGACCATCCTGGTCAACATGGTGAAACCCCGTCTCTACTAAAAATACAAAAAATTAGCTGGGCATGGTGGTGTGTGCCTGTAATCCCAGCTACTCAGGAGGCTGAGGCAGGAGAATTGCTTGAACCCAGGAGGCGGAGGTTGTGGTGAGCCAAGATCGTGCCATTGCACTCCAGCCTGGGTAACAAGAGTGAAACTCCGTCTCAAAAAAAATAAATAAATAAAATAAAAAAGAAGCCGAGTGCAGTGGCTCACGCCCGTAATCCCAGCACTTTGGGAGGCTGAGGTGGGTGGATCACGAGGTCAAGAGATTGAGACCATCCTGATCAACATGGTGAAACCCCATCTCTACTAAAAATACAAAAAAAAATTAGCTGGACATGGTGGTGCGTGCCTGTAATCCCAGCTACTCAGGAGGCTGAGGCAGGAGAATTGCCTGAACCCAGGAGGCGGAGGTTGCGGTGAGCCGAGATCGCGCCATTGCACTCCAGCCTGGGTAACAAGAGTGAAACTCCGTCTCAAAAAAAAAATAAATAAATTAAATTAAATAAAAAATAAATAAATAAAAAAGAATGTCTGACTGGATGCCTGTAGTCTCAGCACTTTGGGAGATAAAGGTGGGCGGATCACCTGAAGTCAGGAGTTCAAAACCAGCCTGGCTAACATGGTGAAACCCCGATTCTATTAAAATTACAAAAAATTAGCCAGGTGTGGTACCGTACGCCTGAAGTCCCACTACTCGGCAGGCTAAGGCAGGAGAATCGCTTGAACCTGGGAGGCAGAGGTTGCAGTGAGCCGCGATTGCACCACTGCACTCCAGCTTGGACAACAAGAGCGAAACTGTTTTAAAAAAAAAATTAGCTGGGTGTGGTGCTTCAAGCTACTGCAGTCTAGCCTGGATGACAGAATGAGACTCTATCTCAAAAAAAAAAAAAAAGAGGCTGGGTGCGGTGGCTCATGCCTGTTAAATAATCTCTGTAGTCTGGGAGGCTGAGGTGAGAGGATCACTCCAGTCCAGGAGTTCCAGACCTGTGCAACATAGTGAGATCTTGTCTCTACAAAATAAATTTTAAAATTGGCTGGGTGCTGAGGGCAGTGGCTTACACCTGTAATTCCAGCACTTTGGGAGGCTGAGGTGGGTAGATCACCTGGAGATCAGGAGTTCAAGACCAGCCTGGCCAACATGGTGAAACTCAATCTCTACTAAAAAAATACAAAAATTAGGCCAGGCGCGGTGGCTCACACCCGTAATCCCAGTACTTTGGGAGGCCAAGGTGGGTGGATCACAAAGTCAGGAGTTTGAGACCAGCCTGACCAACATGGTGAACCCATATCAAAAAATAGTAATAATAATTTAAAAAAATAAAAATACAAAAATTAGCTAGGTGTGGTGGCATATGCCTGTAATCCCAGCTACACTGGAGGCTGAGGCAGGAGAATTGCTTAAACCCAGGAGGCAGAGATTGCTGTGAGCTGGAATTGTGCCACTGTATTCCAGCCTGGGTGACAGAACAAGACTCCATCTCAGGGGGGAAAAAAATTAATTGGGCAGGTGGCATGCACCTATAGTGTCAGCTGTTCAGGAGGTGAAGGTGCAAGGATCACTTGAGCCCAGGTGTTCGAGGTTGCAGTGAGCTATGATCATGCCAATGTACTCCAGCTCTGGTGACAGAAGAGTGAGATCCTTTCTCTAAGAAAATAAATAAAAAATTGGGGGGATGGATGCAGCAACCACCATGGCACATGTACAACTATGTAACAAACCTGCACCTTCTGCACTTGTACCAATTAAGAAAATAATTTTTCTTTTTTTTTTTTGAGACGGAGTTTCGCTCTTGTTACCCAGGCTGGAGTGCAATGGCGCGGTCTCGGCTCACCGCAACCTCCGTCTCCTGGGTTCAAGCAATTCTCCTGCCTCAGCCTCCCGAGTAGCTGGGACTACAGGCGTGCGCCACCATGCCCAGCTAATTTTTGTATTCTTAGTAGAGACGGGGTTTCACCATGTTGACCAGGATGGTCTTGATCTCTCGACCTCGTGATCCGCCCGCCTCGGCCTCCCAAAGTGCTGGGATTACAGGCTTGAGCCACCGCGCCCGGCCCGAAAATAATTTTTCTTAAAAAAGATATACTGACCCTGTAGTTTCAAGGGCATTTGGGAACTGCTCACATATAACCCAGCCTAAATAAACCAGGTATTCATAAATCTGTGTTGCCTCATCTCTCAATACTTAGATACAATTTTACATAAAGGACCCAGGACTGGGAGATGGAGAGCACATTCTCCTGCTATGTTCCAGGGCTTGGCCTGGACCATTAGTAGTAGCATCAGCTCTCCCTTCCTTGTGTTGCCAAAAAGGGTCAAACCCACCTATTGAGGGGGTAGGATGGAGAATCAATACATTATAATCTCTATGCCTTTGTTTATTTACTTATTTATTATGGAGACAGGGTCTAGTTCTGTCACCAAGGCTGGAGTGCAGTGGCACAATTGCTTGTTGTACCTCCTAGGCTCAAGCAATCCTCTCATCTGAGCCTCTAGAGTAGCTGGAACTACAGGGGCATGTCATCATGCCCTGCTAATTTTTGTATTTTTGTAGAGAGAGAGTTTCACTGTGTTGCCCAGGCTGGTCTTGACCTCCTGGGCTCAAGTGATCTGCCTGTCTTGGCTTCCCAAAGTGCTGGGATTGCAGGCGTGAGCCACTGCATCCAGCCTCCCTGTCACTACAATGCCTTTGCATTTTTTTTTTTTTTTTGAGACAGAGTCTTGCTGTGTCACCCAGGCTGGAGTACAATGGCAGTCTCGGCTCACTGAAACTTCTGCCTCCTGGGTTCAAGTGAGCACATTCAGCTAATTTTTCTAGTTTTAGTAAAGAGGGAGTTTTATCATGTTGGCCACGCTGATCTCAAACCCCTGATCCCAAGTGATCTGCCTGCCTCAGCCTCCCAAAGTGCTGGGGCTACAGGAGTGAGCCACTGCATCCAGCTGTTCACCACCTTCTTCCTTTGTTCATGGCCTTAGTCCAAAGCCTCAAGCCCTAACTCACTTGCTAGTCTCCTCTCAACACCTGTTCCAGGATCCATTATTACCTGTGGCTTACAGTCAAAGGAGTCTCCGTTTTTACTGCTGTAAAGGCAGAGGAAAACTAATGGAGACATGTTCTTCTGCCCTAAATTAAAACACTAATTACATCTGCTCACTTAAAAAGCCATTTACACACACACACACACACACACACACACACACACAAATTGGTTAGGATCGGTACTATCTGATTGAAAAGTTAAACAGAATTTTATAGGCAAGTCTGGGAATATTGTCCCTACAGGGAAACATTCAAAGCAATAAATCAACTTTGAAAGGACATGTCCAAGAGTTTTCATCATCTATAACAAAATCATTGTCAAATACTACTTACATTCTTTAGAAAAAAGTCTCTTTCTTTTACCCTGTCCACCTTCTGCACCTCCTCCAATTTCTTCATTTTCTTCCTCAAACTAAAAGTTAAAATGTATATATAAAAATGTCAAGTGATTGCATTGCATTTGCTATTTTAAGAATTAACAATTTTTTTTTTCTTTTCGACAGGACAGAAAGCCTAAAGGAAGCAGCAAAAAAAAAAAATAATAATAAAATAAAGAAAGAAAGAAAAAAAAGAAAGAAATCTCAACACTGAAGGGAACTCTCTATCTAGTCCAACTTCCAACTCATGCAAGTTGGACTAGATAGATAGGGCTTCTACAACGTTGCTAGCAAACAATCCTATTGCGGCCATGTGCGGTGGCTCATGCCCGTAATCCCAGCACTTTCGGAGGCCGAGGCAGGTGGATTACGAGCCTAGGAGTACGAGATCAGCTTGACCAACATGGAGAAAACCCATCTCTACTAAAAATTCAAAAAATTAGCTGGGCATGGTGGTGTGCACCTGTAATCCCAGCTACTCCGGAAGCTGAGGCAGGAGAATCGCTTGAACCCCGGAGACGGAGGTTGCATTGAGCCGAGATGGCGCCACTGCACTTCAGCCTGGGCAACAGAGCAGGACTCCGTCTAAACAACAACAACAAGAAAAACAGAAAATCCTACTGCTTCTACGTGTAAGAGTCCTAATGACCGTAGGTTTTATTATTTATTTTGAGACGGAGTTTCGCTCTTGCTGCCCAGGCTGGAGTGCGATGGCGCGATCTAGGCGCACTGCAACCTCCGCTTCCCGGGTTCAAGCAATTATCCTGCCTCAGCCTTCCCAGTGGCTGAGATTACAGGTATGCGCCACCACGCCTGGCTAATTGTGTATATTTAGTAGATACAGGGTTTCTCCATGTTGGTCAGGCTGGTCTCAAACTCCCCACCTCAGATTATCCGCCCGCCTTGGCCTCCCAAAGTGTTGTGATTACAGGCACGAGCCACCGCGCCAGGCTCACAGGTTTTATTTTAACCAACTAAGGTGGCCTATTGCTAGATAATGTTAGGTTAAACAGTTGATACTGAAACAAATTCTACCTCCCCGTAGTAAGCAAAACTAATATTTACTAAGCATTTGTTTATACAGTGCTGAAAACCTTCCTTAAGTAAGCCCGTAACCCTATTTTATAAAAAGAGAACTGCGGTTCAAAGTTAAATAAATGGCTCAGAGAATGGAGATTTTGAAATCCTGGCTTTCTGACTTTCAATGCATTCTTTTCCCATTATTTCACAGTAAGTACAGTTGTGTTAGCAATGGAACTGTTGGTTGACAGCGCTAACAGATGTTAGTTTTGACCTTTGATGATTCTGTAGGTGTTTCAAACAGTGTTTGGCAAATACAGACCAAAATCAAGGGGAAAGGGGTCACAAAACCTTCTCTTCCTTCACGTCTTTCCTCACTTTTTAAAATGATCAATCCTTAGGGCGTGAAGTCCCCTAAATCTGTCGGCTGAATTCAGTAAGGCAAGTAGTTCCGATCCTGAACTCTGCCTCCGCTACTGAGCCCGAGGGAGTGAAGAAAAGGGAGGTCTGGGACAGAGAGGGTCACTCACGGTAGGGTCCTCTTCCTCATCTGCCATCCCACTAGCCGGCCAACTTAATGCGCCCGCCGGCAGGCTCCGAGCAGGTTATACTACTTCCGCCGCCTCACTTCCGGTGACGCGCGGGGCAGGGGCGGCGCGGCGGAAATGAGAGTCCTCAGCGGAGGAGAGCGGAGCTCCTCCTTGTAATGCCGAAGGAATCGGATACTAACAAAGAAAAGAAAATCGTGGGCTAGGTGGCGAGTATCTGGTTGTCATCCTAGATTTGCTACTGCATATTGAATCACGGCTTCCTGTTTCGGGACTGCGAAGCTAAGGATCATAGGAGGGCTAGCCAGCAGTCCTTTATCTGATATAAAAGCTTTTAAATCATATTAGCCGGGCGCAGTGGCTCACGCCTGTAATCCCAGCACTTTGGGAGGCCGAGGCGGGTGGATCACGAGGTCAAGAGATCGAGGCCATCCTGGTCAACATAATGAAACCCTGTCTCTACTAAAATACAAAAATTAGCTGGGCATGGTGGCGCGTGCCTGTAATCCCAGCTACTCTGGAGGCTGAGGCAGGAGAATTGCCTGAACCCAGGAGGCGGAGGTTGCGGTGAGCCGAGATCGCGCCATTGCACTCCAGCCTGGGTAACAAGAGTGAAACTCCGTCTCAAAAAAAAAAAAAATCATTTTAAACATTTGTGGTGCCACTGTTTCTAAGCACTGTGTTAGTTGTTGGGGATATTGTCCTCACCACTAATATCCAAGACATGGTGTCCTGAGACTGAGCATCTAAAATTTTGTGAAGGTTGGGTTTTTGTTTTGTTGTTGTCGTTTTTTGAGACTCAGTCTAGCTTTATCGCCCAGGCTGGAGTGCAATGGTGCGATCTCTACTAAGTGCAACCTCCGCCTCTCGGATTCAAGGGATTCTTCTGTCTCAGCCTCTCGAGTAGCTGGGATTACAAGCATGCGCCGCCATGCTCAGCCTTCTTTTTTTTTTTTTTTTTTTTGAGACCGATCCTCACTCTGTTCCCCAGGCTGGAATAAAGTGGCGCTATCAGGGTTCACCGCAGCCTCGACCTCCTGGACTCAAGCCATCCTCCCACCTCAGCCTCGGAGTAGCTGGGATTACAGGCGCACACCACCAACGTCCAGCTAATTTTTGTATTTTTAGTAGAGATGGGATTTTGCCACATTGCTCAGGCTAGTCTGGAACTCCTGGCCTCAAACGATCTGTCCCCCTCGGCCTCCCGAAGAGCTGAGATTACAAGTGTGAGCCCACCATGCCCGCCGGGGAATGCTTTTGGTCAGAACAGTGGTTGGGAAAACCACAGGCATTGGACGGCCAGAGCTAGGTATATAAAATAAATGTCCAACAGTGTAACAGATGATGCTGCACAAAGAAAATTCCATAATTCACACGATTTCTGAATGTCCTGCTGAACATTGCGTGGGTGAAAGGTCCTGAGACTTGAACCTATCTTTGTTATCTGAGACTTGAGCCTATCTTTGTTAATAAACACAAAGCATTTTCCCATGCTTTTAATGTACATTGAATTTTCTGGGAATGTTATTACCCCAAAATTGAATAGTAATTGTATTTTGTTTTGTTTGGAATTCATTAAGAGCTATGTATCATTTCAGGAAATAACGTCACCAAAAGCACATCACTTGTAATAATTTGAATAGTGAATACTGAAAAAAAGAACTTTTAAGGAATGTGAGTCTTTTAAAATGATTAGGCCCAGAGAGGCATTAAAATGAGAGGCAGTCACATCCTGCTTGCCCCCTTTTGAACTATGTGTTAAAGTCTTAAAACTGCTTGCTATTGCCACAAATATTAGTTATAAATTAGCTTAATTATGCCCCACCAGACACTATATCCCCCCATACATTATAGCTTGATAATGTTTAGCCAGTCACTAATCAATGTTATTTCTGTGAGCCAATGAGAATTCTGAAAGACAACGTTGTATCAGCCTACTCCCTGTCCTCATTCTTTTCCTTTAAAAATCCATTTGTTCCTGCTGCTAATCTTAGAGTGTATATTCAGGGCAACTTTATGCTGCAGAGTTGCAATCCTCAAGTTTGGCCCAAATAAACTCGATTTATATTAATTTTGCCTCAGTGTCTTCCTTTTAGATCGACAATACTCACCCAAATCCATCTGCATTCAAGATGATTCTACATGTAGGTACAAGCATCTGAAAGCTTCATTATACCCCCTAGTGCCATCATGCCTGGGCATCTACCTATTGAATCATATGTTACTTTTTTTTTTTTTTTTGAGACGGAGTTTCGCTCTCGTTACCCAGGCTGGAGTGCAATGACGCAATCTCAGCTCACCGCAACCTCCGCCTCCTGGGTTCAGGCAATTCTCCTGCCTCAGCCTCCTGAGTAGCTGAGATTACAGGCACGTGCCACCATGCCCAGCTAATTTTTTGTATTTTTAGTAGAGACGGGGTTTTACCATGTTGACCAGGATGGTCTCGATCTCTCGACCTCGTGATCCACCCGCCTCGGCCTCCCAAAGTGCTGGGATTACAGGCTTGAGCCACGGCGCCCGGCCTCACAATAGTCTTTTTTTTTTTTTTTTTTTTTTTTTTTTGAGACGGAGTTTCGCCCTTGTTACCCAGGCTAGAGTGCAATGGTGCGCTATCGGCTCACTGCAACCTCCGCCTCCTGGGTTCAGGCAATTCTCCTGCCTCAGCCTCCTGAGGAGCTGGGATTACAGGCACACGCCACCATGCCCAGCTAATTTTTTGTATTTTTAGTAGAGACGGGGTTTCACCATGTTGACCAGGATGGTCTCGATCTCTTGACCTCGTGATCCACCCGCCTTGGCCTCCCAAAGTGCTGGGATTACAGGCTTGAGCCACCGCTCCCGGCCCTCACAATAGTCTTAACGCAGTCTTAACCATACTGCCCATACTCCATGGTTAAATATGCAGGCTCTGAGATCAGATAGGTTGAGTTTGAAATCCTAGCTGTACTATTTATCAGCTATCTTACCTTGAGACAACTTACTTGACTTGCTGGTAAATTCATTTCCTCATCTATGAGAAGGGGATAACAATAGCTACTAATCATATAAGGTTATTAAGAGGCTTAGATGTGTTAATAGCCATAAAGTGTTTTGGGTAGTACCTGGCACATAGTAAATATTCCGAAACTATCAGTTGTTATTTAAAAGCCTACCTTTCACCGTTACTTTCTGCTGTTCTCCTTCATGAGCTCTACATTCCAGTTCCACAAGGCCACACTCAATTATTCATGCAATAAATATTTATCAAGCACTAGCAAAATGTTCAGCACTAGCTACGGGACTGTGGATAAAATAACAAAGCAAATGAACATTACAGTATAGCAGGGGGACACGAGTTAAACAGGTATTGTATGCTTTGGAAACATGATTGGGGAAGGAGACTGAAGAAGGTCAGAGAAGTCTCCCTCAAGCAAGTGTGGTCTGAGTTGGGACTTGAGGGATGAATGTGAGTTACCCATTGAAGCAGGAAGGGGAGGCCTGATTGTGACCCAATCTTACCGTGCTTTGATCACTCAATTCCCTCCCCCACTGGAATGTTCTTTATTTCTGCCTATTGAAATGCTATATGCCTTTCAGGCTCAGCTAAAATGTCTGCGCCTCAATAAAGCCTTCCCTGAACGCTCCAGCTGAAGGCAGTTTCTCCTTTCTACTCCTGCAACGCTTAGTTTTCATTTTCCTTGGACACTTCTCACTTTCTACTGTATTTTTGGGTTATTTATAAACATAGTTTATCTTTTTCTACTAAATCTTAAACTTATTAAGAATAGAGTCTGTTTCTCATTCATCTTTGTGTTCCCAAAGGCTAGCACATTCCTCAGATTTAGAAATCCTGGAACAAATGTTTGTAGCATAAATGAATGCCTATTTGACATCCCTTTTCAAATATGCTGTAATTCAAATGAAGCTATTGTTGCAAGCTGTGCCTTTGAGACTGAACTTACTCTTTGGTTAAACCAGAATGCCACAGCCATGGTCCCCATGACTGATTAGTGTTCACCACAATAACTGCAACAGCCCTAACAAACAGGCCACTGTTCTTGACTGACAGGTATTTGGCAACCACTACCAGTTCTCCGGTGAACACTGAAATGAATTGAGGAAGGACTGTCTGAATTGAGAGTCCCTAGGCCGGTGGGTTCTATTTATTCCTTGCAGTTGGGCTGCAAGAGCTGGTGACCCACGCTTTGGCCTGATGTGAGACATGACTTTACTGTGTGGCAGTGAGGATATGAGACTTTCCAGGGTGACAGAAATATTAATGATTGTAACAAAATCATCAAAGATCAGTGTCCGTTGAAAGTGCTGTAATGTGAGGCAGTGTGATAAAAAGGGAAAGGGAGCTTTGAACTTACACCTGGGTTTGGATCCTAACAGGCTGTCTTATCTCACCCATGTCCCTTCTTTAAGTCTCAAGATTTCATTTAAAAAAATTCTGTAAAACAGTTGTGAAAATCAAAGATACTGTCCTTACACAATACTCATGTTCTATTAAAATGTGTTTATTCATCTATCTTACCCAACATATTTTGTTCTCTGAGGGCAGGGACTTATTTTTGCCCCTATTTCTGCGAAATCTAGCAAGGTGCTTAGCACATAGTAGACACTGGCAAATACTTTTTGTTTTTGAGACAGGGTCTGGCTGTATCATCCAGGCTGGAGTGCATTGGTGCATTCACGACTCATTGCAACCTCCACTTCCAGGGCTGAGGTGATTCTCCCAGCTCAGCCTCTCACATAGCCGGGACCACAGGCATGCATCACCACGCCTGGCTAATTTTTTCTTTTTCTTTTTCTTTTTTTTTTTTTTTTTTGAGACGGAGTTTCGCTCTTGTTACCCAGGCTGGAGTGCAATGGCGCGATCTCGGTTCACCGCAACCTCTGCCTCCTGGGTTCAGGCAATTCTCCTGCCTCAGCCTCCTGCGTAGCTGGGATTACAGGCACACGCCACCATGCCCAGCCAATGTTTTGTATTTTTAGTAGAGACGGGGTTTCACCATGTTGACCAGGATGGTCTTGATCTCTTGACCTCGTGATCCACCCGCCTTGGCCACCCAAAGTGCTGGGATTACAGGCTTGAGCCACTGCGCCCGGCCCGTCCTGGCTAATATTTGTACTTTTGTAGAGACAGGCTTTCACCATCTTGTGCAGGCCAGTCATGAACTCTTCAGCTCAAGTGATCAACCCACCTGAGCCTCCGGAAGTGCTAGGACTCCAGGCATGAACCACCACGCCAACCACAGATACTTTTTAAACAAATGAACAACAATAATAGCTATCATTTATGGAACACTTACTCATGTCACATATTGTTGTAAATAGTAATTCACGTAATCCTCCA